CATGGCATCTCAATTTTATTTTCAAGCAGAAACCTACAACTGTTTGGCCATTTATATGCATTGCAATGTCTGGATCTGAAGCAACTGCTGTTGTAATAGAACTAACACTGTCATAATGTCTTTGTCCCTCAATGGTTGTCAGCTAGGAGGTATGACGGGAGATTGCAAAATCCTCCATGATACAAGGAAAGACAGCACAATGCTGGTAAATCTGTGCAAAATTACAAGGGCTTATTTTTCACATCCAACATTAAAATAAATAAATATTTGTTAAAAAAATTGAGTATTAGCGACATTTCCCCCTAGATCAAATCTGTAATTTCTGCTAAGGAACATGGCTTTTTACAGCAAATGTGATGAAATTTCAATTTCTGGACAAAATAATCCTGAATTTCTATCAAGGGAAATTCACCATTTTCAAGGATGAAAATGGCAGTTTTTACCCTTGTAAAAATAGCTTTTATTTCCATTAAACATAGTGAAGAGAGAGTAACAATAAGTGACAGTGGTATTTTGCTGTTATTATTGTCCAGTTGTAAAAATATGTACATACTCCACTGGTCAGGGTGTGTAATATGTCCCCAATCCACAGAGGATGGGAGTCTGTTACAGTTTATGTGCACAGCCTGTCTCTTTAGCTCCAGTGTAGGGACTCATGCTTCTATTTCTGGGAGGTGCTCAATTCAACCCCTGGTGTGTTGGCCAAAATGGCAGTTAGAGTTAACCATGTCCTTCTTGATGACTTGATTTGGACAGGAGTGGGTTATGGTTTTGCCTTTTTAGTTTTAGAATACATGGCTACTAATTAAGGTTTTATTTTACTTGGTGCCATAATCTGAGGACTAGAAAGAGACTAGATTATGTAGGTATATGAATTTCTGAGACCTTTAGAAATTCTGTGCCAAATTTGGATGTAGCATTTGGCACATCTTTCAACCTGCTTAACCTAGTGGTTCCTAACTATGCTCTTTGATGGTACACAAAGAACTGTTGGTCATGTACTTCTGACTCTTGTTTCCAGCTCCTAAACTCCATTAGGCAACTAGCTTCTTTTAATATTACTTTTTGCTGTAAGCAATTGTTATAATTGCCACATGATAGCATCAATTACAAATGGAGGGAGAGCTAGTCCACGGGATTGGGAATGGGCAGGAAGTGTCCATGCGACAATCTTACCTCAGAACTGCAGTCCACACTGTGAAAATGGTTGACAACTCCCAACTTAACCAAATCAAAGACAACTTTTCGGTTTAATTTCTACATCTTGTACCATTTTAATTGGTTGGACATTGACAATCTCTCCTTTGGTTAATAATTAATTCATTTTCATTAGTTCTACACAAAGCCCACAGATTTCTAGGTTCATAGGCAATGACTCCGTGGAAGGTGGAAAATGGTAGGTGCTGAATACCCCCAGAAGCCCCCCTTTTCTCCCCTAGTGCCTTCCCCTGCTGGTGGGCCCTGCCGATCAGTCCTTCCCCCCACACCCGTGCTTCCCACCTGCCACGATCAGCTGTTTTGCAGTGTGCAGGAGGCTCTGGGAGGGAGGAGGGAGGACACAGCGTGCTCGGGGGAGGGGCGGAATGGGGCGGGGGCAGGGCAGGGGCAGGGGCAGGAAGAGGTGGGGTAGGGATTTTGGGGGTAAGGGTGGAGTACAGGCAGGGCCCGGGGCAGAGCCGGGGGTCAAGCACCCCCGGCACATTGGAAAGTCGGCACCTGTGTCTATGATGCCATAGCATTTGGAAATGTATAAGGGATTCTGAGTTACCTATGGGAAAATGTGTGATATTGAATACACAGAACAGTTTGGACCCAGTTCACTTGTCATACACACCAATGGAGAGTGAGTGGAAAACAAATCCAATTCAGAATGGGTTCATTTAACACTCACTTTGCATTGGAGTAGATGACTGTACAGGGCAATAGTGAATGGTGTTCTTTACTCTTAACACTAGAGCGAAGCAAATAATTCACATTATGTTGTTTTATGACTGCTGCCTCATTTACTTTGCAAAATTTCTGCTAACAGATCATGCTTGTCTTTAAATGTACGATGCAGTGTTGTTGTAGCTGTGTTGGTCCCAGGATATTAGAGAGACGGGGGGTGAGATAATGTCTTTTATTAGACCAACATCTGTTGGTGAGAAAGACTAGCTTTCGAGCTTACACGGAGCTCTTCTTCACATCTGGGAAACTAACTCAGGCTACGGCTACATTAGAGAGTTTACAGCGGGGGAGCTGCAGTGATGCAGCTGTGCCGCTGCCTGTAAGCTCTCTAATATAACTGCTCTAAGCTGACGGGGGAGCTGTCCCATCGGCTTAATTACTCCAGTCCTGCGAGCAGCGGTAGCTATGTTCGCAGGAGAAACTCTTCCGCCAACATAGCACTGCCCACACTGGCGTTTAGAACGGTGTAATTTACATTGCTCAGGGGGGTGGCTTTTTCACACCCCGTAGCGATATCACCCCTCCTCCCTCCAGCTGCTTTCCCCCACCCCACCTATCTTTCCTCCCCAATGACTGGAAGGGTGTTAACAGGCCACTTCATCTTGAATGGTCCCTTGAAATATGTGTTAATTACTTATGCCTAACAATCTGTTCCACCTTGGGTTTAGCAATGACACAAAAAAAGGCCATGTCTATGCTACAGACCTCACAGCGGCACAGCTGTACTGCTGCAGTTGTGCCACTGTAAGGTCTCTTGTGTAGCCATTCAATGCTAGCGGGAGAGCTCTCTCCCGCTTGCATCATTAAGCCACCCTAAACGAGTGGCAGTAGCTATGTGGGCAGGAGAACGTCTCTCACTGACATAGTGTTGTCCACACCGGCGCTTATGTTGGTGAAACTTTTTTCATACCCCTGACCGACAAAAGTTTTACAGACAAAAGTGCTAGCGTAGAGAAAGCCTGACTGTGGTATAACTTACGTCGCTCGGGGTTGAGCCACATACAGCCCCCAAGCAAGGTAAGTTACACCGCTCTATGCCAATGGAAGAGGCTCTCCCATCGACGTAATTAAACCACCCCCAACAAGCAACGGTAGCTATGTTGGCGGGAGAATGTCTCTCGCTGACATAGTGCTGTCCACACCGGTGCTTCTCTCAGCGTAACTTACGTTGCTCAGAGGGATTTTTTTTTCACACCCCTGCGCGACATAAGTTATACTGACAAAAATACTAGTTTAGACATAAACTTAGTATAGACACTTACAGACTGGGTCCATGTAAGCTGCCTTACATCAACCTAATGGTAGAGTAGACCAGGGCTGAATTAGTTTCCCAGACCCGAAGAAGAGCTCTGGGTAAGCTGGAAACTTGTCTCTCTCACCAACAGAAGTTGGTCCAATAAAATATATTACCTCACACAGCTTGTATCTCTTTAATGTACTGTTATTCAAAGTAATTCTACATAGTTTGAACAAACTGCACGTGGATTGCTACTTGAAATGTGGACTGTTATTTACCTGTGAATGTCAGTGAGCACATAAATCTTAAGGCATGATTTCTGTTCCCTGATGGATTCATAACTTTTACAATGGGGTTTTCTGTGCAAATGTTTACAGAACATGAATTTAAAAGTTGCTCTCATGATTATTCAAGTGCATGAGATTACAAATTAGCTTCTGTAAGCATATGTGCTAGTAAAACTTTGATTGAACCAACTTCTGCCTCTATATGGAGATGGAACAATGCAGCTAAGTCACAGTACTAGAAGTAGAAAAGGGATCTATTCTTAGTTGTGCCACTGACTTGACTGTGTGAACTTGGCCAAATGACCCTTTTTATTCGTTAGTTTCCCCATCTCTCATGTTTTTCTGCTTCAGTGTGGTTGTGAGCCTTAATTAGACTACCATCTTGCACTTTTTGCAACTGAATAGCCTTATTGAAATCAATAACACTATTACATAGACAAAAAACAACAAGGAGTCCGGTGGCACCTTAAAGACTAACAGATTTATTTGGGTTTAAGCTTTTGTGGGTAAAAAAAACCCACTGTGGGGGAGGGATAGCTCAGTGGTTTGAGCATTGGCCTGCTAAACCCAGGGTTGTGAGTTCAATCCTTGAGGGGGGCCACTTAGCAATCTGGGGCAAAAATCAGTACTTGGTCCTGCTAGTGAAGGCAGGGGGCTGGACTTGATGACCTTTCAAGGTCCCTTCCAGTTCTAGGAGATGGGATATCTCCATTAATTAATTAATTCAGATGCATGGACTGAAAAGCAATTGCTACAAAAGCAATTTTCCCTCTCAGTATTGACATCTCGTTATTGGGAGTGGACCACATCCACCCTGACTGAATTAGCCTCGTTAACACTGGTTCTCCACTTGTAAGGTAACTCCCCTTTCATCATGTCAGTATATTTATGCTTGTATCTGTAATTTTCACTCCATGCATCTGAATAAGTGGGTTTTTTACCCACAAAAGCTTATGCCCAAATAAATCTGTTAGTCTTTAAGGTGCCACCGGACTCCTTGTTTTTGTGGATAAAGACTAACATGGCTACGCCCTGATACATAGACAAAGTTACAGATGGGCCTAAGTGTTTGCAGGATCAGGGCTGTAGTGATTGTAAAGTGATTTGAAGGTCAAAACAGTTTTTTAAAGTTTTGTTTCTAGTAAAAGTTACTTTGCATTGCTAGTACCACTTTTTTTCATACATGTGCAATTGTCTATTTTAATGTCCTCACCAATATCCAAAGCCCTTGGTCCAAAAGACATATTCTCTGCAAACAACTTAATAAAAACATTTCTTAGTTTTAGAACAGCTACAACTACTAAGCTTTGCACCTGGCTTTACAAAGACTCAAACTATTTACTGTATGGTGGGCAAAAAGCGAGGAAAAATATGGGGGAGGTTGTCAGGAATTTGCAAACAAGTTTCAGCTCAGAGTAAATATTTACAGACAGAAATAAATATGTGATTTGCCAGAGGAACTTTGTTCCATGTCCATGTTTCGTCACAAATCCAAGGGGGTCACTTTCACATCCTCCTGCAAAATGCACGTGCGTGAGAATCGCTAAAGGAAGTGACTGCCTCATTTGCAAAAACAAAACAACCAGCCACTGACCCTTCCTTGTCCTTTGCTCTGATCGGTAACTAGAAACTTCCCGGGGGAGAAAAGAAACCCTGGAGATGATCGCTGCCAAGGTGAAGGAAGAGGCGCCTGGGCAACTCCCAGTCTAACTGCTTCGTGCAGGCAACACCGCGTGGGCGGTCTGCAGAGCTGCGTTGCTAGAGGAACAAAGAGATCGACAACTGCCTCCCCTTGACGTCCCCCGCCCAGGAGGTTATAAAGAAGTGGCGGGTAGGGGAAGCAGTTTGGGGAGTGCTCGCTGTGGGAGCGCGCCGGGGCCCCTGCGTGCAGGTCACTAGAGATTGCCAGGGGGTGGAGGTGAGGCACGAGCAGCAAAGCAAGCTGGCAGCACAGCTGGAAGACACAGCAGGCTCTGCACTGAAGAAGCCGTTTGAAGAGCTCAGGCAGGAGCTGGAGAGACGGGTGGCTCAGGATGAGTGAGCTGAAGCTCGCAGTGCTGGGCAGTAGAGGAGCTGGCAAGTCTGGTAAGCTTACAAGTTAACTTTGTGGGGGGGGGGGATTTAACAAGTGGGATTTACATGTTACCCGGGTCCCTCCCAAGTTTTGTAAGGGTGGTTGCGTCTCGAGCAACTTGACTTTTTTAATAATCCATTGATCATGCGACTCAATGGCCAGCGGTTTTCTGCACCAAGACAAAGTAGGAAACAGCGGCACTGTTTAAAGATTTGTCCAGTCCAGCTGCACACTGGCTCTTCCATTGTGCTACTACTACTAGGAGCCCCGGATCTTCACCTCCCCCCCTCCAAACCCCCCAGACTTTTGCATTATTGATCACTCAAGTGTTCGGTCTCCAATCTGCATCCAAAGAAGTGAGGTTTTTACCCACGAAAGCTTATGCCCAAATAAATCTGTTAGTCTTTAAGGTGCCACCAGACTCCTTGTTTTTGTAGATACAGACTAACACGGCTACCCCCTGATACTTAATCTCAGTTGGCAACACTCCCCCTTGGCAATCATTTGGAGTGGTGTGTAGCCGGGGAGAGAACACAACTGAATTTTAAATGTTGTGGGTTTTTGCTCACCAAGTAAGATCAAAAGTTGTATAAAGTTAACCGTCACTGAACCAGGCATGTGCTCAGCTGGAGTTTGTTTTGTATTGCAGCCCTAACAGTGAGATTCCTAACCAGGCGTTTCATTGGAGAATATGCTTCTAATTCTGGTAAGTTCCCATTCGCAACTTTGCATTTTGTTTTAGGCATTCTATAAATCATACCTCTAACGAGCACTAAAGCCATATAAATATGAACTGTCAATTTTAATTTCCTACCAAGTACATACCTGAATTTTCTTTTTAAATTCTCAGTTCTGTTTAGAAGTGTTTCCTAACATCTAATCAAAGTGTTTCTTTATGGGTTATATACGTTCATTGACATAATTTTCCAAGGAGAATAGTGGATGATGAGCTATTTGAACCTGGAGAAGTAGGTTTATTATAGTTTCACAAAGTATCTTTAAAAGGGAAACCGAATAATCTTTTAAAATAGTGATTTAATTTTAGTTTGTTACTTTGAGTTGCTGATGAAAATATAAAATATGAAGAATAGAAACATAAAACTCATGTAGAAAGCAGATGTATAAAAATGAACATGTAAAACTCAGCACACACTGTGCCAGGTAAAGTACTAATCAGAAATAAAAAGGGCAAAGAGCTAAAGAAATTTGACTAGAGCAGACACAAAAAGAATGGTAAACTCTGTACACCATAAAGTGGAGAGAAGACAATTAAAGAAGGGAGTGAAGAAATAGAAAAAAGTAATGTTTTTATCTTCTCTACAAACAACCTTCTTGTTCCAAGAGGCATTTTTCAGGAAAAGGCAAAATTTGGCCTTAAGAGACTTGCATTTTCCATAGATAAGCTATGGAGCACCCGGAGAAAGAGAATGCAGTAAGAGGGAGATTTCCAGAGGCACAAAGGGCAGTTACCCACCCCACTTTCATTATTTGTATTACAGTAGTGCTTAGGAACCCCAGTCATGGACCAATGCTCTATTGTGCTAGGTGCTGTACATACAGAACAAAAAGTCTATACCACAAAGGATTGACAATCCAAATCTAATCTTTGGAAAGGAGTTGAGTGCATAACTGCCCTTTGTGTCTCTGAGAATCTCTTAAATCAGCTGAACTCAACAGGACAGGGGAACTAGCCAGTACTGTGATTTTAACCCTCCCCCCCAAAAAAAACAAAAAAATACCTGCTGTTTTTCAAGGGAAATTTTTAACAAACCCATGTATTTGTAAAGAGAAACTTGGGCTGTACAAACACTGTTTGAAAATAATTTTTGCCCTGCTTCTACAACTAGGAGGTGAATAAAATAAAAAGCAATCCACAAAGCAGCCCAGAACATTTTGTAGTGGAATCAAAAAGAGATTGGATTTCAAAAGTTTTATGTTCTTTCTTAATTATGGACGCCACAATGTTTGAGTGTGCTGCAGATTTGATCCTTCTAATTTTCCCATCCCAAATATTCGCTTGAGGGTTCTGAAGGAGGTAAGGAGATAGATGAGCATAGGCCAGATATTTGTAAGAACTGCAGCTGTACCAGAAGACTAATGTGGTACTGATTGGGAGTCGAGGAGAATCCTAGGAATGGTGAGATTTATCTGGGCCCTGTCTGCACCAGGAATTGTTTGAAATGTTCCCACCATTACAAACACCAGTTCAGCTCCCCCCAAGGTTAGCAACACTGGCAGCCCTAGACTGTAAATGGCCTGCTAGTTGCCAGTACTGTTTGAAATACTGTGCTGATTAGATTTGCTCAGAGCAACACGGTGTTTAGAACGGTGTCAAGTATCAGGGGGTAGCCCTGGTAGTCTGTATCCACAAAAACAACAAGGAGTCTGCTGGCACCTTAAAGACTAAGGCCGTGGCTACACTCAGAACTCCAAAGCACTGCCACGGGAGCGCTCCTGTGGCAACGCTTTGAAGTGCGAGTGTGGTCTTGCGCCAGCATTGGGAGAGAGCTCTCCCAGTGCTGCAGGTACTCCACCTCCACGAGGGGATTAATTTACAGCGCTGGGGCACTGTTTACACGGGCGCTTTACAGTGCTGTAACTTGCTGCACTCAGTTGGGTGTTTTTTCACATCCCTGAGCAAGAAAGTTGCAGCGCTGTAAAGTGCCAGTGTAGCCAAGCCCTAACAGATTTATTTGGGCATAAGCTTCTGTGGGTAAAAAACCCACTTCTTTACATGCATGGAGTGAAAGTTACAGATGCAGGCATTATATACTGACACATGAAGAGAAGGGAGTTACCTCTCAAGTGGAGAACCAGTGTTGACAGGGCCAATTCAATCAGGGTGGATGTAGTCCACTCCCAATAATAGATGAGAAGGTGTCAATTCCAGGAGAGGCAAAGCTGCTTCTGTAATGAGCCAGCCACTCCCAGTCCCTATTCAAGCCCAGATTGATGATGATAAATTTGCAAATGAAGTTTAGTTCTGCTGTTTCTCTTTGAAGTCTGTTTCTGAAGTTTTTTTGTTCAAGAATAGTGACCTTTTAAAAAAAAAAAGACTCCTTGTTGTTTTTATGGTGTTTAGAATAATGGCAACATCTTGTCCCACTCTTACTAGCAACTGATGGAGATTTTCAAAATATTTCCCTAATGTAGACTATGCCCCAGATTTTAAAAGGCATTTGGGTTTTGCTGTGGTCAGCATTGCAAGACCTAACTGATTTAGGAGTCTAAGAGATTTAGGCACTTAGTAGTCTAAATCCCATCAATTGGATTGTGTCCTAAGTGCCTGAATCCCTTTTGAAAATGAAATTTAGGTCTCGCTTTTTAAAGATATTTAGGAATTGTGCTCAGCATTGCAATGTCTGAGTCTCATTTTTAAAAGGGATTTAAGCATTTTGGCTCCTAAGTGCCTGAATCATTTTTGAAAATCAGGCTGAGGCCCCCAAATCAGTTAGGCATCGCGACGCTGAGTGCAGCAACGTCTAAGTAATTTTAAAAATCTGGGCATATGTCTCAGATTCTAAGAATACAGTTTAAAGACTCGATCCTGCAAACACTACTGAGGGAAATGCTTGCTACTGTGAGGTTTTCCATTTGAGCACTAGAATGTCTCATTGTAGTTAAGTGTTACTCCTGGTACCAGCTTTTTCAGGATCAGCACCCAAGTTCAGGCTCGTATAATACCAGCATAATTCTAACTTGATAGGGTCAAACCAACACTGCTTATGTGAGGAAGACTCATACCCACCTAACCTATTGAAAAAAACAACAACCTAATGAAGTGTTACACCCTTATGGTTCTATTTTACCTAGAGGAAAAAACTTTGCATAAGGCTGTGCATATGTGCTGAACATGCATAATAGAATAAGTGGGTCATCAGAAGTTAACCGATTCCAAGTTTACATTCCCTCTACCCTGAAATCATAGCAAGCTCCTGCTCCCATCACTTCTCAACATGCAGGTTGCTATCATGTCCTAGCTACCCTAAAACTTTCATAATATTTGTAAAGAGATTTTGGGGAAATTACTCAGTATCCTAAATGCATGAGCATTTACCTATGCATGCTTATCTGCTGTCTCAAATGGCCAGCACTATTTTCTAACAATGTTCCCTCACACGTTGGCACCTATTGGGGCATCACAGTGGAATAGGACCTGGCCAGCCAGGAGCTGAGGGACACAATTAAGCACTGCACAATTCATTGTGGGCATATCTGAGGGATGGATTCACTTTCCAGTAATGCATCAGGCTCTGCCAGAGGATTGCTATCAGACTTGATGAACCAAGGGCTAATTCACTACAGCAAATCTTGTATTTATCCATTGGCAGTATAGCGATTAAAGCCTGTTTCCCCCCCCTCTACTTGTTAACTCTAATATTGATTTTAATGCTATGTGTCTTGTAGAGTGCATCTACACTAAACATTTGTGTCTGGATGGGAGGCAAATGAACTTGGAAATTTATGACCCTTGTTCACAGGTAAGCGCAACTTATAAAAGATGAGCACAGCAAGACTGCTCCCAAAAGTCCTTTGAAGAGTGAGGTGGCAGGGAGGAGAGAGGAGAAAAACTAACTCACACTTTGCACTTTTTAGCAATTGACATGGAATATTGAAATTCCTGTAGCTATAACATGTAGCTGTCAGGACTCTCTCTGTACTGAGCATTTTCCAACTTTACAGAATGAGCCCTTCATTGGCCAACTATCTGGTCAAGGCTTTTCCATTTTTACAGCCACTAATGGCAACCAAATGTAACATTGTACAGTAAAATTACATGCATCTTTTAATTCATAGGAGGGGCAAAAAGGTTGCAATCACTATTTATATAGTTTCCCCAAATATCCTTTTAAATGGTTAATTTAAAAACATCTAACTAAATTTCATTTACCTGTGGCAATGGCCAAATAGACAGCCCTGGAAACTGAAGTCCTGTATTCCCAGAATAGATCCAATGATAGTGACAATACAGACTTCCCCATGTTAACAACTGGGCTTAACTCTGCCCTGAATAAAACACTTCTAAGGGAGATTTCAGAGTAGCAGCTGTGTTAGTCTGTATCCGCAAAAAGAACAGGAGTACTTGTGGCACCTTAGAGACTAACATTTATTTCAGCATAAGCTTTCTTGGGCTACAGCCCACTTCATCGGATGCACAGAATGGAGCATATAGTAAGGAGATTATATTTTTTATATATATATATACACACACAGAGAGAACATGAAAAAGTGGGAGTTGTCCTACCAACTCTAAGAGGCTAATTAATTAAGAGAAAAAACGTTTGCAGTGATAATCAGACAATCAAGATAGTCCATTACAGTTCTGTCTGATTATCACTGCAACCTCTTCCCCGAAATCCCTTTCTGTAGTGGGGGACCCCAAAACTGGATGCAGTACTCCAGATGTGGCCTCGCCAGTGACGAATAGAGGGGAATAATCACTTCCCTCGAGCTGCTGGCAGTGCTCCTACTAATGCAGCCCAATATGCCATTAGCTTTTTTGGCAATAAGGGCACACCGTTGACTCATATCCAGCTTCTCGTTCACTGTACTCTTCAGGTCCTTTTCTGCAGAACTGTTGCTTAGCCAGTCAGTCCCCAGCCTGTAGCAGTGCATGGGATTCTTCCATCCTAAGTGCAGGACCCTACACTTGTCCTTGTTGAACCTCATCAGATTTCTTTCGGCCCAATCCTCCAATTTGTCTAGGTCACTCTGAACCCTATCCCTACCCCCCAGCGTAACTACCTCGCCCCCCAGCTTAGTGTCATCCGCAAACTTGCTGATGGTGCAATCCATCCCATCATCCATGTATATAAAAGGGTTAAACAAATACTGATGACCACAATTGTGTGCTCAGTTACCCTGGGGTAAATTCAGAGGGACTCCATTGCAATCAAGGGAGCAGAGTTTGGCTGTAAGATTTAATTTAACTTTACTGATAATTAAGGCCTATCAAGGCCGGTTTAAAGTTCTGAAACACTGTTTATACATTCATTATAACAATCCTCTCCAATGATGGTTATTATTTATTTGTAGCTCTTTGGAGTACCAGTTTCAGATCAGGGCCCCATTGTGCTGTGCACTGTACAAACATGTACGATTTAGTTAGAAAGAAAATATTGCACAGTGACAACAGTAACGGATTCTTTCTATTGTCGTATGCATTTCATTGCCTTCAGCCACGACCGGGGAAGCTGTCCCTCACTGATGAACTCCACTGGGCTGACGGATTTGTCATTGTGTATGACATCAGCGACAGAGCTTCCTTTGCCTTTGCAAAGGCATTGCTATACAGGCTACGAGATTCCCACCTGGCAGCTTGCAAAAGGTAAGTTGTATTATAAATATTACATTTCTTTCGATCTAACGTATGAAAAGAGATGTCTGTGAGCTCTAGACACCCTAACAGCCACTAAAATGACACTCCGTACAGCAATAGCACCCAGCAACATAACAAAAGTAGTCATATACTAGCTGGTAAATTCAGCAGCAAAATATAACCAATTCCACCCAAAACCCAATATACTTTAGGCTTTTACATTCTTGTTTCACATGTAAATCATACTGTCATGCTAGGTGATATAAGACTAACTAATCTGATCAAGATTAGACAATGTGCAGATTAAAATGCTGGTAGTTAGCCTATGCTACAGCTCCCCCGCCCCATTGCTGTCACCAGTGGAGCTGCACCAATGGGAAGTTTGAAGAAAATACTAGTGTAGATACAATCAGGGAGGATTTGGCACCAAGAACTCCTCCTCAACTCTGTCCTGGGCAGTGACATCAACTCCCTTTATGTCCTTGGGCAAATAATTTAAATTAGCTCAGATGTGAGTGGCACAAATTAATTACATTAATTAACTAGTTAAATGTTTAAAAAGTGAGTGCTAAGTGTCGGTATTCACAAAAATTGACCTAGGGATGCATAACCTGCTGAGGCTTTTGCCTAAATAAAACATGATCTAAGAATAAAATCATCTTAAATTGGGAAATTGTTTAAATTATATTTTCAACCCCTTTCACCGTATACTGTCTCAACCTTAATCCCTTGGTGTGTATATTTTTCATACTCTTTTTAATATTTAAGGGGGGAAATGTACTGTCAACAATTTTTTTAGCCTTAATAAAACATAAATAAAATGAGGTTAAGTCATTTGCCTCACAGATGTGGTAGGAGGCTTTATAGCAAACTGAGATCCTAGATAGCGTTCAATGGTATAAATTAATATAATAATATAAACATTTCTTATCAGTTTTATTTGGATATGCAGCATCCAAGAGCAGGTACCCTGTAGCATTTCTATAAGGCTTTTTGTCTAATCAAAAACTTTTTGATTTCAGAGTGGTAGAGTCAGCTGTATTCTTAGTTGGTAATAAGCAGGATCTATGCCATATGAGAGAAGTAGGCTGGGATGAAGGACAAAAGCTGGCAATGGATAACAAATGCCAGTTCTGCGAACTGTCTGCAGCCGAACATTGTCAGGAAGTAGTGACCATGTTCACGAAAGTCCTAAGAACCATCACCACAAACTTCAAAGTGAAGGAAAAGAGACGACCCAGTGGGTCAAAGTCAATGGCTAAACTAATCAACAACATGTTTGGGAAGAGGAGGAAGTCTGTGTAGTGGATGTCCAGGCTCATGGAAACCATTGAACAACGATACACTGAAACATTGCAACAGTGGGCCATATGCAATGCTTGGACTCAGCCAATGAGTACATGTGTTTAAAAGGTCTCCATTTGAAAGGATGATATGTCAGTACAAACCAAAGATGATTGGCAGTGTGGGCCAGTAGACAGAGTACTGCACTGGGATTCAGAACACCTGGGTTCTATTTACAGCACTACCATGGACCTGCTGTGGACCTTGGCAAGTTTCTTCATCTGTCTGAGCCTCTGTTTCCCCTCTCAACCTGTGTCTTGTCAGCTCTTAGAAGGACTGTCTTTTACTACTTTGTTTGTAGAGTGCTACCAACAATGGGGCCTTAATTTTGGTTGTAGCTTCTAGGTGTTACTGTAATATTAATACTTTTTTTCCAGTGAACTCAGCCTCTCTGTGCCTTGCTGAACAATAGCCCAACTTCAGAATTCCAAGATTTATCTGTAACAGCAATTGCACTAACTGAAACCAGGATTGGTACTTTGTGATATTGCACTTGTAAGTAAATGAGTGGAGGATACTTAATGCCTGACTTTCAGGGCTTCCTTCTCCTGAAAAGCTGCCATGAGTAGGGAATCAGATAAATGAGGTCATCAGCTGTCTCCCATTTCGGTATTCCTGCTGGAGCTTGATGGGCAGAAATATGGTCCAGTGGAGAGGAAACTGGAATGGGAGTCAAGAGCCTTGGGCTCACTTTGGCTCTGCCGTTGACTTGCTCTGTGACCTTGGACAAGGTCTTTTTGGGTGAAATTTACTCCTATGCATCAATTTTATCTTCCCTGGCCACCTGGGTATTTGAATCCATGATTTCAAACTTCAGAGGTGGAAGCCAATCCCTTACACCATCTTTCACTCTTATGCAGCTGGCCAGTTCAGCCAATGTATCACTGAAATCCAACTTAAGAACTCAGGCCAAATAAATTAAATTAATGGAGATATCCTATCTCCTAGAACTGGAAGGAACCTTGAAAGGTCATAGAGTCCAGCCCCCTGCCTTCACTAGCAGGACCAAGTACTGATTTTGCCCCAGATCCCTAAGTGGCCCCCTCAAGGACTGAACTCACAACCCTGGGTTTAGCAGGCCAATGCTCAAACCACTGAGCTATCCTTTCCCCCAGGCCAAGATTGTCAAAAGTATTTAGGCACCTAACTCCCATGGATCTCTGCCCTTAATTTGGTCCTCTGCATAGGGGTGATTTTCACCCTCCATGCCTCAGTTTTCTTATCAGCAAGATGGGTATAATGATTGTCTGTGCACTCTATTTTATTTAGGAGTAGGATCTGAAAAGCCCCTAAGTCAGGAGCACAAGTCTGACTGCGTTTCAAAGTCAGACTTTCAATGGACTTGTGGTCCTAACTGCCATACTCATTTTAAAACTTATATTCATCACCATGGTAATGAAATGCCTTTGTAAAGCACTTTGATTTGTATAGATAGTGCTATAGAAGTGTCTTATTATTTTTTCCCACACAGGTGCTGAACATTAGGCACTGGAGTCTAAATATTTAAGCAACAGAAAATCAGGCTCCTTACTGTATACTTAGGCACCCATGTCTGAATGTTTCTGATTGTACAAAAATTAAGAAGGGAAAGGTAAGTGGTCTGAAGATGACTGACTTTCTCCCATACTGGTTCCAACTAGGGTGACCAGATATTCCAATTTTATAGGTACAGTCCCAATTTTTGGGTCTTTTTCAGATTTGCTGTCTGATCCCCTTAGTTCCAACAGACCCTAAGGGTACGTCTACCAACCTCCCAGCACAAGCAGACAGACTTGCATTAGTGGGCTTGAACTTCTGCCCTGAAAATAGGGTGGATGTTTCGGCTTGGGCTGCAGCTAGGGTTCTCAAGCCCATCCAACCCCCTGCAGTCAAGCTAAGGAGGCCATCTTGAGTCTCTGCTGGAGCTGCAAATTCCATGCTGCTATTAGTTTGAACCACATGAGCAAGAGTCTGTTTACTCACGTTGGGAGGTTTGCTCCCAGCTGCTGTGTGGCCAGACCCAAAGATGCAATTTCCAAAAAACAAACAAACAACAACCCCCAAAACAAATAAACAAAACCCCCTCAGCATTGTGGCCTAACTCTGGTCCCATTGACGTCAACGAGCAGAGTTAGGGAAATGCTGAGTGCTTTTGATAATTCCATGCAAATAAGTAGAAAGCTGTATCACTTTAACGAAATATAAGTAAGTTATTCGTACGTGCTAAAAATATATTGTGACTAAAGATCATCACTTGTTGAAAAGATCATCTTATTTCACGTAGTTATAGCTTTTAAAATTGCAAATGGAATTTATTTCTCAGAATGTTGGCAGGCTCTTCACTATTTTACATCCAAGCAGACTTTACCCTACTGTATCAAGGGTGATTTATATAAGGGTATATATTGGAATCAGAGAGATTGAATTTTAAAGCACTAATCTATTAAATGACACAAACAACACTCCTCCAAACTCTCTTAGTTGGCTGCTTTTGTGTAGTCTGTCAATCTGCGTACTGCTTGCTAACCAGATTTGAAAACGAACTGTATTTACTGTTATGACATTAAACCAATTTGAATGTTACAAGAGAGAAATGTTTACACTTTTTACAATGGTCTAAGATTTTAAAAAAAGAACAACTTTTGCTACTTTACAAATGAAGCCCATGCAGCCTCAAATAGTAAATTCAAATGCTAGGCACTTTAACAAGAGGAGGACTATGATTGTGTTTCATACACACACTGAAGAATCATACATGCATGACACAATGAATTGTAGAGCTCCCAATACTTATTTTTTATTCTTAATTCTTAACAAAAAGAGAACATACTTGGTTAAGGTTGCCAGGAGACTAATTACTGTTTATTCATAGAGATATTTTTACAGAACATAAGAAATAAAGGATAGCAGATTCTGAAAATTCCACTTGAGACGGTTGTGTCACAGCATAAACTGATTGACATTCTACATACATCATCATCTGCCTACATCCCGCTACCTATTAATGAGGCTCTGCTAGACCTTCCAAAAATAATTTGGCATACTCCATTGACAATACAACCTACTTCTAAGAGAGCACACAAAAATATTGTTTTCTCTGAGGACTTGGAATTTTTATTTTCGCATCCTTCCCCTGACTCCCTTTTGGTCGATGCAGTAAACAAATGTGGAAGACAGCTTCACACTACAGTGTCACATGGCATCAAAGATTTAAAAAGCAACTTCACTTACTTGGCCGTAAGTCATATTCATTGGCTATTCTACAATTTGGGATTGCCAACTACAAAGCCCTCATTGCAAAATACAACCATATTAACTATTCAAAGTTTAATTCCTTTATTGAGCATGTTTTACCAGAGCAGAGGGAATAATTTCAGGCAATCATTGCAAATGGTCAACTGCTGGCCAGAATATCATTGCAGGTTTCTCTGGATACCATTGATACAACTGCTTGTTTTGTCTCTATGGCGGTAGCCATGAGGAGGGCCTCCTGCCTTCAGCTCTCAGGGTTTCAGAGGGAAGTCCAAAATACAGTTAAGGACCTTCCTTGCGATGGATGAAGCTGTTTGCAGAAAAGACCAATGAATCTCTGCATAAGGTGTTGCCTTATATATCAAAAGTGTATACACTTGCACTGAGGTTGAGATGGAAATAGGGGACAGACTTGTTGAAAGTCTCTGGGTAAGGAGTTAAAAAAAAGTTAAAAAACAAAGGTGAAGTCATGGTAGGGGTTTACTACAGACCACCTCACCAGGAAGGGGAGATGGATGAAGCTTTGTATAAACAACTAACAAAATCATCCAAAGCACAGAACTGGTGGTGATGGAGCACTTTCACTACCTATTGGGAAAATAACACAGCAGGGCACCAATTATCCAACAAGTTCTTGGAATGTATTGGAGACAATTTTTTATTTTAGAAGGTGGAGAAAGCCAGTGGGGGAGAGACTGTTCTAGGTTTGATTTTGACAAATAGGGAGGAACTGATTGAGAATTTGAAAGCGGAAAGCAGCTTGGATGAAAGTGTTCATGAAATATTAGAGTTCATGATTCTAAGGAATGATAGGAGGGAAAACAGCACAATAAAGAAAATGGGTTTCAAGCAGGCAGACTTTAGCAAACTCAGGGAGTTTGCAGGTAAGATCCCAAGGGAAGCAAGTCTAAGGGGAAAAGTAGTTTGAGAGACTTGGCAATTTTTCAGAGAGACACTATTAAGGGCACAAGAGAAAACTATCCCACTGTGTAAGAATGATAGGAAATATGGCAAAAGATTACCCTGGCTTAACAGGAGATCTTCAAAGTTCCTAAACTCAAAAAAGAGTCCGATAAAAAGTGGAAACTAGCTCTAATTAGAAAGGATGAATATAAACAAACACAAGTATGTAGGCAAATAATTAGAAAGGGCAAGGCACAAAAAAAGATTAAACTACCTAGAAACAAAGGGTAACAAGAAAACATTCTATGAATACATTAAAAACAAGAGGAAGACCAAGGTCAGGCTAGGCCCATTACTCAATGGAGGGGGGGGTACAATAACAGAAAGGGGCTGGGGGGTACAATAACAGAAAGGGGGAGGGGGGTACAATAACAGAAAATGTGGAAATGGCAGAAATGCTAAATGACTTGCCAGAAGCTGGGAATGGACAACAGGGATTATCTGTTCTGTTTGTTCCCTCTGAAGCACCTCTTATTGGCCACTGTCAGAAAACAGGATACTGGGCTAGATGGACCTTTGTCTGACCCAGAATGGCCCTTATGACTCATGACTAGGTACATCTTCCCACAACAAGGCTCTTTTGGTAAATTTCCTTCCTACAGCCTCTCTGGTGATCCCTTAACCCCAAACCCTGGGAACTCAGCAGATTGTAGGTCTCAATCCAGTTAGCAGAGTAGTGAGTGCCACCTCATCAAACCCAAGTGCTTCTTACCCTCCTACGCAGCCTGAATACATTCCAGTGGCACATACAGAGGTAAGGGATTTCATTTCCCAGTGCATGGGGTTACCTGAGTCTGAACTTTAAAGACCAAGTACAGCCTGTCACTGTCCAACCTAGAAGCTGATGTTTTTCAGTGGTGAACTGATTCTTCTTCGAGTGCTTGCTCATATCGATTCCAATTAGGTGTGCATGCGCCGCGTGCACAGCCGCCGAAGAATTTTTACCCTAGCAACACCCAGTGGGTTGGCTGTGGAGCCCCCTGGAGTGGCGCCTTCATGGCGCTTGATATATACCCCAGCCGACCCAGCGCTTCCTCAGTTCCTTCTTGCCGGCTACTCTGACAGAGGGGAAGGGGAGCAGGTTTGGAATGGATATGAGCAACACATCTCAAAGTACAACAGTTACAAAGGTGAGTAACTGTTTTTTCTTCTTAGAGTGCTTGCTCATATCTATTCCAATTAGGTGACTCCCAAGCATTACCTCGGCAGTGGGGTCAGAGTGAAACAACGTGTATTGTAGGACCGCTCTACCAAACGCTGCATCATCTCTAGCATGCCAGACGATGGTTCATAGGCATGGGAGTCCTGGGGAGCCTGTCAGGAGGTGGGGTTGTGGATAGGGGTCAGGGAGCAGAGGGGGTTGGATAGGGGGTTGGGTCCCAGGGGGCGGTTAGGGGCGGGGGGTCCTGGGAGGGGGCGATCAGGGGACAAGGAGCAGGGTGGGGTTGGATGGGTCGGGAGTTCTGAGGGAAGCAGTCAGGGGTGGGGAGTGGGAGGGGGCTTGGGATCAGGGGCCAGGCTGTTTGGGGAGGCACAGCCTTCCCTACCCAGCCTTCCATACAGTTTCTCAACCCCGATGTGGCCCTTGGGCCAAAAAGTTTGTCCACCCCTGGTTTAGAGAGAGAGGGGGGGCATTTTGGGATTCTTCATAATAAAATATGTTGCATAAATGTATAATTATATGCTGTGCAAATGTTAAGTATTAGGAGAACTCAACCACAGGTTGTTGACACCTAGATACAGTAGAACCTCATTTACAAACACCTCGGGAATGGAGGTTGTTTGTAACTCTGAAATGTTCTTAACTCTGAACAAAACGTTATGGCTGTTCTTTCAAAAGTGT